TGAGAAATTTATTCAGTATCCAACCCTATCTACTGATTCTTGCTTAGTCCGTATTATTTTACATATTACGTAATTTCTGGTTTGTAATTACATTATTCTCTCTCTCTCACGCCATTTCGACTATACTTATTCTGACCAGTCATTTATCTCACAACTGTATTTAACGTATAAGCTTACTCAAGTTAACACTTCATATTAGTCATCCCCAACATTAACGATTTGATTTGATTTAACAATCACACCATTTTAAATGACGTACCCTGCCCTATACCTGGTCAATTTTACGGGTTATTTTGTAGATACAGAATATTCGACTCACATCTAACCGTATGTCATTCATGATTTTAATGAGATACACATTTTTACGTAAGGGGTTAAAATGAATAATACAATATTATACAATGTTTTATGACTGATAAAAGATCAATGCTGTCATAAAATAAAAGTAGGTGAATGACTAATAATCAGTGTCCGTAACACTTTAAATATCCAGCAAAAGGCAATAATGGGTTAGTTCTAAAAAATCAGGTAAACTATTCAAAGATATCATAACTCTGTCTTTCGAATTTAGACGAACAAAACAGTTGGATTACCAAATAATCATTTATCCTTACAATCAACACCGCGTAAAGAAGTAGAAAACATGAAGAATTATTGATTCCAGAAACGATCTTCATAATATATTTACGTCCTTAAAGCTCCTCGTTTTGTTTCTCCACCCAGATATTATTTTACTAAAGTTCCTGTGTGTGGACACCTATAACATTAGTCAACCAAAACTAAAAATACTTCACTATACTCATTGATTGTACTGGAGATATCGTTCGAAATTATTTGTGGCAAGACTTGTATATTCATTCCTAATCTAACACAATGCCTTATATCTTTCTAACCTTTGCTCTCACTCATTTTCTCTCTCTTATTTTCCCACTATTGTTGGCATCGTCATTGTTATCTCTGTTTATTCATCCTATTGATCTCTACACTGGGCTAAATTGAAATTTAGTGACCACAGCCGACATAAAATATTTTTCCGTAATCACTATCAAATCCTGTACAAACATGGGCTTATTCAATGGGACCAATCGTATCTGTAGTAGAGGGGAACGAAAAGATCTTAAGTGAAACATTAATGAATGATTGTTGTTCATTGGAGTTTATAAACCGTTGGGAAGGTAGCAATATGAATAGACCTACGGCGTTTTAGGCACCCGAAAAAAGAGTCTATATTGCCCTACAAATTCGTGGGCGACTCAAATAGTCTCACGTTGAAATAAAGAATTAAATTATTTATCAGTAAGACGCTGCATGTAGCCCAACTTATCATTACAGAAAAATCAGTGTCTTTGTTTCCCAAACAACCTAAACAGCATGTAAGCGATTGTGTCATATCCCATTGCATCTATGATTCCACATGTATGTGCCGAAACACATACACAGGGAGGAGAAATCGCGATCTGCAAGTAAGGTTGGGTGAATGCATATAGAAATAACTACAAAAACATGAATCCCAATAGTCAAAAAGATCACAGAATCGTTTTGCACGAACGTTTTCAGGGGCGTATGCTAAGGTTTATCGAAGCCTTGTTTATACGAAAAATGAAGCCCCCTTTGTTTGTTCAAAGACATTTTATCCTTACCCTTAACCTAACCTAATATTACTGATTTATTAACCCCGTATCTTTTGATTTGTCCAGTTGACCTTTTATTTTTCATACATAACGACTTAACAAGTAAACATGTGATCAGAGTTTTCGAAATGTATTACTCAAATTTATCAGTTTGAAGCGCATTAAATAAGGTGTTCACTTTACAAGTTTAGAATAATTATTACATAAATTAATTCAGGAAATACAAGTATTGCATCCTGTTTTGATTTACACTGAATGCGCTAGGATTAGTGGTACTAACTGGTTGTCCAAACTGAAAGTAGGTGAAGATAGGATCGAATCTGTTGTTCACTAAATGATAGTCGAGTGTTAAGACCACTAAGACACAAGTGTGATATCTACAAGAAGCAAAACTAATTAACTGGTAATACCTAATTGACCCCACCACAAGTGTCTGTTTAAACCTAAATGCTACAAGTGAATTGTGAGGAAGACAAACACAATCATCCAACCCAATGAGCTAAAATGTTAGATCGGCATTTATTTAAAGATACAAGTCACTAACCGAACAGTGTAAGAAATTCTTCGTGATCTTTTTTATTCTGAAGTAATCATTTAGAGTTAGAGCTAACAAACCATTGTGGATTCTTAAATAGTCAACATTGTTGTCTTTTCATTCTTCATCAAATTTTCATGAGAACTCTATTTGCCAGACTGATAATTTGAACTTTTGCTTGTTACATTTAATCAAATATCCATGTTAACATAAAACTCACGGTACGGGTAAATAGACACAAGAAATACTCTTTCAACATTAAGAATTGTTTGTGCTGTATGGTTGAAATTAACAATGTCAAACGGAGTGTGATAACCTTTAATTCACCTGAAAAATCTCAACTGAAGAGGAACTGTACATTAAACGTAGAACCATAATAATATGTTGTCTTAAATTAATTCTAATCAAACAACATCTGTTTGATGTCCATAGTAAACGATACCAATAATATGAGTACTATCAATACTGTACGTCCAAAACAGTATCGAAATCTCAGCATAAGATATACAAATCAATGTGAAATTTCACTCAAGACGGAACCCGTCTAAACTGCATCGAGTCAGAGCAGCAAATAAAGTGAGAATCGATATAAATGAATCGAAAAACATCAAAATAAGCCAAAGTAACGTTATTCATCACACGCAGATCTCGTTTGGGGTACCTATGAAATCCAGGGAGCACTAGGCAGCCAGTTCTTCCTAGTATGGGACTCATCAGCAGTGTGCACACACGATTCTATCAGGGATCTAAACCAGTTCTCACTGTGACCCCCTGACCATTGGAACAAGTAGGTCGGCTTTCGGTATTACATTTCCAACACCAATCAATGAGAGATTTAGCTCAATAAACTACTGAATACCACTAGTAACAGTTGTTTCAATCTAGAGGTGTTTGAACTCAACTAGTCACGAACTCAAACTAGAGCTTCAGGGACATCTTGAAGTATGTCACTTTTCAACTGTTTATTGTGATTTAGTCGAAGAGCTTTTGCGGAGGTTGATTTACCTTGAGACCTTATAATCTAGGGTTTGATTCCTGGAGGGTTTGCGGGCGTGCACTGCTGAGGAGTCACACACAATAATGAAATAACTGACCAGTCCTATATGGCAGTTATAGGTACGCAAATTGAGATCATTTTGCCATGAATACAGCCTGCAAAGTTGACCAATTTCCTCATATCCCCTCCAAGTCAAAATTAACGTTGTTGATTGAGAGGGGATGCTGAGTCTAAAAAGTGAATAGCATTCTTTAAGCTTCAATAAAATACAAACAAACGAATAGAACGAGGTCTCTGAAATTTTAGTTTTTGTCATCTACACAGATAGAAAAACAGACAAAGTAAACAATTCATCATTCTGGAAAATATTGATCCCGAATCTTTAAATAAACCAATATTAACTAAAAGACATTACACAACAGATCAATCAATGAGTGAAGAATTAAAAACAAGATGAGAAGCCACTCGTCACAATACATTACGATGCTTGTTGACAAACAAATTCTACATAGAAAAAAAATTCATTGTGTTTCTGGTTTTAAATCCAACAATGTATAACAAGAATATGGAAATGTTTAAAAATAATTATAAAGTAAATTATTTACTTATATAAAACAGATTTATATACTGTCAAATAACTCCGACGAAACAGTAAGACAGTCTATCATTACAAGAACTCATGTTTGTTTATACTTTGGATTGAAATTATCCTTTGAAACATTTCAAAATAATATATGTGTAAATAAAATCTAACATAAATTGGTATGTCTCACTGGATCCGAATGCCTTACATTCAATATAATACACTATTACTTGTCTTTATGACCGTTGTAAAAAACCTTAATTTTTCACAGTATAGATAAAATATTAGAGTGAATGTAATAGAACAAATTTCTAACGGTAAAATTATTATCAGCTAGGATAGATAAATGAGATAATGAGGTAAATTTCGCTTGGATACATTAGTAATAATAAGCAGTTAGAGAGTGATAACCCTGCGATCTTCCAATATATTTTCACATAATATTGAGTTATATTATAGTATTATTCAATCTCCTTATTATTAATGCTTTTCTCTCCATCAAAGAGAAATAATCTAAAGGTTCCGATTGCAAAAAAAACAACATTAGGTCAAAACCAGTGTCATAACATATTTCAAGTTTTGACTTAGTTCAGTCTCCTTTCGGTTAATACTCAAATCTGCTACAGATTTCATTCAGTACCCCTGATTACCGGAATATATCCTCTGGATTATGGCTTTTCTAGTTTCCAAATTAAAAGGACTGATCAGTACTAATTTTAATAAGGCAGGATAATAAGTACCAAAATAAACGATTAAGTAGATTATCAGTTGCATTAATCATACACATTGAATAACATATCTTAAAATCAGCCCAGGTAATATAATTGTTACCATTATGAGTCTTATTTTTAAAATGCCGAAATACCGATTATACCCAATATATTATTAGTACAACCCCTAACCAGATTTAACCAAAAATGGACAAAAAAGTACATTTGTAATAAACTAAACAGCTGATCATAATGTGTGTGTGTGTGCGTCTATGTGTTCAACATAAACTATACATAATTGACCAAATTCAAAGTTATTAGAGTTAGTAACAGAAATAATCCATTGTAATCAACTATTTTAAAAGCTTATTCCAATGAACTAGTTTGTATATTCTATGACAACATAAATGTAAATAAAACTGAACATATTGACAGTTGATATTGTATAAATATTCAAGATAAATAAATAAATAAATATAAAGAATCTCTATGCAAATTTCTATATAAATCAATACAAAAATTACATATTAAAATTGTCACCTACCAAATAAGTTATCTCAATTGTGTATAAAACTGAATCCGTCTCGACTGAAAATATGAAAATCCTTTAGCCTATTTTAAAAATAATAAGGGCAGATAGTCATAAACTGTGACGGCCTAAAAAAATACAATCAATATTAGCATACAAGACCTGTCTGTCTAGTCTTTCATTATTTTCTCTAATAATTTTAACGTTTGGGTCAGAGAGCGCATAGAACGCCACTGGTCTAGCGATCGAAACCCGGGTGACTAAAAAGGACAGGCTAAAAGAGTGAATACAAACAGGCTTATTTCATGTAGCAAATATACATTAAATAGATTGTCTGTCATTAGTTAACATGTTCAAGGTCAAAGTAATCATCATGCTGTTATAGGAGTGGTTTAATAGAAATAACTTTACTACATCTATTTTAATCGATCATTTGTCCGAATAGGCTGTAGTTTGACGTAATCAAACTAGACGGTGATTTATACTGTATACTAATATTTTATATTTTTAACATGGATAAACTTACCAAGTGAATTATTCATCATATAAGCAGACATACTTATTGAAGAAGCCTATTTTTCAACGAATACATTTTATACATGAATATTCGTTTCACAAATTAATTGTCAACATGATATAACTATCATAATTTACAGAAATTATGAATACAGTTAATTCACTCAATAAATGAACATTATCTACAGTGAATCACAATGAAATTCATCTTCTTTTTCTAATTTAATAAAGAGAAGTTTCTTACATGAATATTATCTTCTTAGTACCCCCCCCCACGGTTCAGTTCATGAAATTTCGTTGCATTATAGATTTTAAAATCACTAGTAAGTTTTGATAAACTATTCTATACTTGTGAAAATTGTCGAGGTTATCTTACCATTTTACATATAAGTTTTGTCTTATGAATAGGTATTATTGATTAAATGTTCTAAATAACGATTATTTAATAATTTAGGTTTTCAATCAAACTTTTCGGTGAGATTATAATTTATAGATAACGTTGGAGTAATGCTGAAGTGACCTTTAGAGTGTCTGCCTACTTACTAGGGTTAAATGAGGATTATGAAGCAGTTTGAAGAATAAGGATTATGATTTTCAGTTGATGGTTAAGGTTAGGAATTAGATTTAGGGTTTTCATCATGAACTGACATCAGCTATAATACCTGTCATCGTAAATCTGATTGGTTCATCCATAAATTATAGTCTCGCCAAGTTCGCGGTTGTCAATGTCTTGATAAACCAGTATTATATATTGATCATTCTATTTATAAAGCCTTTGTCATATTGTGAAGTTCATTGAACAGAATTAAGTACTAAATTTTCAGAATTAAAACCCGAGGTACCAACTATCACATTAAACATGATAACAATCATGAATTTGGATGAATAAAAACTACATTAAAAAGAAATAAGAACTTTAGCTGATAAATGTATATGTGATTTCAGTCTAGTTTTCTAGGAATGTGATGTAGTTGTGTAGATAGGTCAGATAACACACGTTTCATAATGGACAGTCTGGCTTTAGAGGGTGAAGGTAAATGGAAAATTGTTATGTTTTATATTATTTTCACTTATTACTAGTGGATATTTATAAATAACATTTCAAATTGTTTTCATTTTTACGTATTCTCGTAGAAGATAATCGATAGTACAGTTTCGCCATATAATTATGCATGGAACAACTTTGTTTCTATTAACTAAACTTTTTGATTACTAACAAGAATATACAAATAAGCCTGGCTCATTATTCGATTCTGAGACAAATGTATCGGTGATTTAAAATTGAACAAAATAATCTAATTTGCACAGCTGCCATGATGAGTTACATTTTAACTGATCGTCGATCAAATATGATTTTCAATGGTTGAGATCATGAGTCCGTTGGAGCTAGACCATCATGGAAAACCTGGAAGCACTTGACGGCTGTTTCGTCCTATAATGGGACTCCTCAGCAATGCGCATCCATGACACTGCCTCACGAGATTCGAACCCAGCTTTTCCATAATGGTATAGCTCCAACGAACTCATGATCTCAACCATTGAAATCACTATAATATCCACAAAACCCCTTCTGATATTAATCGAATATAATTTTGCTTGTCTCATTAATTACTGCTTTGATTAAATTAGCCTTATCTCTTAAGCGTTGTATTGCTTATGTCATATCCACTGTCTAGAATCTAATCTGTGTAATGAAACAAGGTCAAAGGTCATTAGGCCCATCTACTAGAAGAAGATTGTGTTCCTATATAAAGAAAATATTGCTCTTAAATTCTGAAGTAACCATATTCAAGCTAGTTGCTCTTTGATTTTTTTTGGTTAAATTTAAAATATTTCGACAGCACACTTATGCCATATCTAAAGCTTAATAAAAATTACCCTTATTCAGCCTTTATAATGCTTGAAGATGCCACAAGTATTTGTAGTTTGACAACAATTTAACCATTAACATCTGTATTGAATCGTTCCCACCCAGTGAAGTCAAAAGTCAGAAGCGAGGAGGTTCGAAAATATATTCGATAGATTACCAATATATCGAGAGGTGACTGATCTAAACTGGCTAGCGGTTGCGGGAGAAGTTGAGCACGACGTTCCCACTCGTGATCTGGTGCGGACACGTGACCGAGTGTCTTCAGCTGAATGAGTCCATTAGAACTAATGCGGTCGGCATCAGATGTCGAAGACTTACATAACTATTGATTTTGGGAATTTATGCTTAAAATGCTTAAAACTGATAAACGTCTGTCTGTTTTACAACCATATAGTGTTTGATAAGCAAATTTTACCATTTCTAACTTAAGTTGTTTCTGAAACAAAATTTATACACATTGTCTCAATATCCTCCCCATATCATTGATGTAGAAAAATGACTTTAAACTTTTGGAAGTATTCTGGTTTTGTATAGCATATTATTAGTCTTTGCAAACTATATTGTAATAAAACTTCTTGTGAAGTCCACATCAATATCATGACAGCTGTGCGATCATCTTGAACAATATTTATAAGCGTATAATGGCTGTGCCTCCAAATACCCAGGTACGGCCGATGGTGGGGGACAGTCCTCCTTCCCTCTCAAAATGCTTTCATATGGCTACATGTATACAACCGCTGTCAGGGAAATCCTACTCACTGACTTCTTGAAGCGAAATGGTTGTTTAACGAAATTGTGAGGACGATAAGCAAATATTCGGGCGCTTTAACCGGGTCGGTGGGTACTGAGGATCCACCTGTGGGATAGAGAGACCCTGATTACAGGCCAGTGGCCCACATGTGCTCTGGCATCCTGAGGGAACAAATGGCGTATGAACCTATTGTTGGTCACCGGTTACCACAGGACTGCATCTCCTAACGTTGCTCTATTACCTTGTGAGTTAGACCCGTAGGTGAAAGGCTTGAAGAGTGACCCACTAAGAAAACCACCTGCTTCGGTTTGGATACCCGCGTAGTATTCCAGTCCTCACACAAATCGAATGATGGAGTGTGGCACATATATTCTTGGTGCCTCCTTGTACCAATGCTTATTTGTCTAAACAAATAAGTAGATAAAGACACTCAAGAAAGATTTTTTTAATCATATGGATGTAATTTTTTACCACCTATTGTTTTGAGTAGTGGACCGGTTTTCAGCATGTTAACTGAACCATAACAGAAATTTACCTACTTTTATAATCCAGATTCTGTTATGACTGAATACTGTTTTCCGATTGGCTAAAAGTCGTTTAAGGGTAATGCTTTATTATAGTCTGGTCAAGAATTCCCTTCAAATTTGTTTTTTATTCACTATCCAACAATCGGTTTGTTTCTTTATTCCTATACATATATGTAAGATAATCCTAAATGTAACAGAACAATTCCAAGTGCCACAACCTCTATTACTACTACTAATTTTTCGGTTTACTAATCTCAACATTCACAACGTCGGATACTTCGAAGATAATTATTATCCTACTAATCTATTACTTTTAATAATTACAGGTTTTAAGATCGAACTACAAACATTATATTTATGGTTTTTACAGTTCCTTCATTTAAACTTTGGCTAAAACACAAGTAGATACTATCCATTTAGAAGGTTATCAATCAACTCCTAACCCACCTTCTGACGTCATAGTTCATTTTTGGACCCATTCTATTACATAGAATATTAAACTGTAGATGACAGTATGGATAGTTGCTTACAACTCTAACAATGACATGATCTTGAACTTTCTATGCTTTCTGTTCTGAATTTTCTGTCTATTGATTTAAAAAAAATATTTTTGTTGAAAACTTTTTTACAGGTAATTACTGATGAAGGAATCTCGGCTTTTTAGGATTATGTCTGTAATCTCTAGAATTTACATGCATCAGTATCAGTTACGTTGTGGAGCTAAATGACTGATTGAAAACACTGAAGTCTGCAAAATTTTATGGAGTCTATCAAATGAAGAATCTCAACCATATTGTGAAAAACAGCTCCCAAATTTGGCATATCAAGATTTGGGATAAAGTAGATGGTCAGAATTTTCCAACTGTAAATAGCACCTTCATAATCTTAGTCATGTTTGTGAAACTCGCAAAATAATCAACGATTCATGTGGACTGATTTCAACTGTATAAAAGTGATTTATCTCAGTTACAATGACTGAATAAATCAACACTATGCTATTGAATTGAGTAAAATTATATATTATGATAATTAGGAGTATTTGAATTATAGTATGAACTAAGAATCTCAGAAATAACGTAATCGGATCAAGAAGTACTAGATAAGCACGAACGAACGTAATGTATTTGGAATTCGAAATCAAGCATTCAACAAGTACAAAGGAATCATTAGTTCATTCAAACACCACATATATGTATATACATATTCAGTAATTATACACACCACCACACCATACAATTTGTAAATGTTTATTTGAGAAGATATATGTACACGTGTTTAAACTATCTGTCAAACGTTGGAAACCTGTCAGGTTAGGTAATTGTGTGGCAGTGGATTTTACTTCATTGGGATGGGATACAACTTCTAACCAACCTTCTGACATCAGAGTTATTTTTGAACTCGTTCAAACATGTAGAAACTTCTTACTCACAAGTATCTGATTCTTTGACTGTTACTAATTATTTCTCAATATGTATTAGCTATTTGCATTCATTGGTATGTACATTTTCTGTAAACAGTTATAATTTCATATATTTGTGTTTTTTGTCGACTACAATTTAATACTGAGTCTAAGCTTTTTCTAATTTACATAAGTGAACATCTTTTGGTTACACTATTACTCACATTATGTATATATATTATCATTGTCTTCATT